GGCTGGACAGCCAGGCCCTCAGCGTCCCTGCGCCACCTGCCCAGGCCCTCCTGCCCTGCTCACAGCCTGCGGACACCCCAGGGGAGCCCCTCCGGTTCCCAGCCGGCGCCCCCTCCCCGGCGCCTCCTCTCTCCTGTAGGTCACTCACCATTCTCCACCTTTGTGCGGAGCTTGCCTTGCTTGGGATTCTCGAAGACAGGGTAGTGGCGAGAATTTGTGCTTTCCACAGCCCGGTCACTACAGGACTTGTCGAAGAGAGCGCCATCGCCACACGGGGCGGTGCTGCAAAGTAGGGCTGTCCAGTCAGCAACCTCCCTCTGTGCCACCAGGCTGGCTCCCCTCCACCTTCCTGGGGCTCAGAGCAGCGGGGGGAAGTGTACGGAGCCGTGGGCTGTGGCCACTGGATGAGGGCAGGGTTAGTGGCCAGGATAGCATGGGGACCACTCCTGGGGCCCAGGGGGCTGCTCTGGCAGCAAGAGAGGTGCTACAGACCTGATGTAAAGATGAAACGAAACAGACTTTTTTATTTGGAGTTTCTCTCCTCCCCTAGCAGGCTCAAATATACTATCCTTTGCAGTCTGGGAGTTGTATTTCATTAACTCGCTGTAGAGAAACCTGCAGAGACAAAGTGTGGTCAGGAAGCTGGGTTCCACCCCGGGGAGAGCGGCCTGTGCCGCTACGATCTGACTACTGAGCCCAGGGAAGGCAGAGCCGCACAGCGCAGACTTCCGGTCCCGGGGCCTCCACAGTTCATATAGCAACAGCAGCCTCTTGGGTCTGTCTGTTTCTGTGGGGGGAACGCACTATGGAGGTTATGGGGACCGCAAAGAAAACTGACTGAAGCTTTACAGGAGGCTGTTGCTATTCCGAGCTTCTCCTTCCACACAGTGAGGATGAGCTGAACCAGGAGAGGTGGGCAGCGTGTCCGGGCTGTCGACAGCTCCTCAGATGGAGGTGAAGGTTGCCCCAGCCCCAGACGGACACGTGAGTCTTGAAGAAGGGCACGAAGTGGAGTTAGCAGAAAAAGGCTAAAAAAGGGGCTAAGGGGATGCAGCCAGGTGAGGGTTGCTGGCCAGACAGGCTCCCGTGTGAGAGTGAGGTGAAGGGTGCGCCCAGCTGGTGGGGCCTTGTCTGCTGGGCCAAGGCGGGTGGGCAGGGGTGCGTGGACTGCAGCCAGGCCGAGGGGCCACGCTGAGCTCGCTCACCTGATGAAGCCCCTCCGGGAGATAATTTCTGCATGGCAGTCATTGACGGTTTCTCCCTTCAGGCTGAGAGAGTCTCCTTTCACACAGCGATTCCCTGGGAAGGCAATTAAAGCAGAGTGGAGTAACTGAAAGCACATGCTGGCGAGCTTGGGAAGGCAGCAGGGTCTTACGGCTGAGGCAGGGCCAGTCCCACTGAGCAAACCTCACCAACTGACCGCAGCTGAAACAAAGCGGAGGTTATGCAGCCCTTATCCAACATGCATGCAACCAGCTGCTTTGGATTTCAGAGTTTCTTGGATTTTGGAATATTTCTGCAGAGCTTACCAGTTGAGCATCCCTTATTCAAAACTCTGAAATGCTCCACAATCCAAAGACGTTTAGTGCCACCGTGCTGGCACGCAGGGATGGCACAGCGTGTGAAGTGAGGCCTTGCCCCTACCTTGGGCCTGCCAGACTCTGGGAGAGGCACCTAGGAACACGAACCTGTCCCCAAGCTGACCACCACACCCATGTCCTCTGAGTCCTTCTTCATGATGATGGCGGCCAGGATCTTCCGGCCAAGCAAGGAGGGCTGGAAACTATTGGTGAGGGTGTTGAAGCACCGGTGGCTCAGCATTGCGATCTGGTCGTGGAAGGTGCTGCCAGTGAGCGGGAGCTGTGGGGACAGGCAGCACAGTGTCAAGGCACGCAGATACCCGACGCTGAGGCATCTTCCCCTCTCACCTCAGCGTCCTGTTACACGCTGCACGGCGGCTCGTGCTAAAGCCTAGGCGCAAGGCACGTGACAGCAGTGACCCGGTTATCACAGGGCCTCCCACCCCTGGAAAGATAGCACCAAAGGTAGACGTCTTAACTGTCTTTGGCTGTGCATCTGGGGACCTGGAGAGGAGGAGCATAGTTCTTCTGAGACTGGCCCCTGTCACTGGGGTTACCTCTGTGAAACCCATGCGTTCTGCCTTCTCGTTCTCCCCAATCAAGACACGGAGGGCCGCGTCCGCTGCTTCCTGCTTGCCTTGCTTCTTGCTGTGTGCGCAGACGGCTGGAAACCAGCGGCCCCCAACTTTTGCTTGGTAAACGAACCTTTGGGATGAGAAACAGGATGAAGATAGGCACCAGACCTTGACAGCGAGGTTTTGCTCAAGAGGCAGGAAGCGGAAACAGTGAGCTAAATCCCTGGCCCTAGTTTTGCTTAAGAAATGGCCAGTCTTGCAAACATACGGACCCATCAGTCTTGCAGGTCAATTTCTAAGGCAGTATTTCCCAGATTTGGGGCATGAAGTGCAACAGGCTTGAACTATTACTTAATATTTTTCTCTAAATCAACTCTCTAAGAACGCACACACATTTAAAAAGGAAATTTTGTATCATTACTGTAAATGGGAAAGTGGTACCACTTGAAGGTGGCTGTAAAATGGAATATGATACAACCGTGTTAAATTCTGACTAGGTGTGGCACTGTACCTGTGAGAACTCTCAAGCCTGTCTTCACAGTAAAGATCGAGGAGTACCAATGAGATTCTGAAGAACTAGCACCGAAGATGGGCTTTCTTCCTAAGCAGAAGATGGGAATACTCTCCCCAGCTGAGTCACTCTTACTTCACGCACTGATTTTTAAAGGACCCAAATGCATTGCCTTGCCTGTCTCCTGATTAGCTCCTGAAGCCTGAAGAGGTCCTCATGTCAAGACGAGCTGCAGGCCAGGGACCAAGCTGTCCTGGAAAGTTACTCTGAGTCCTGGCAAGCACATGGTGGACCCGGGGGGACCTGGGGCTCTGCTGATGGATGCAGACGGGGGGCGGGGAAGTGCAGACACAGGAAGGGCATGAAGGAGCCAAATAGCTTGGAAATCTGCCACACAAGGTTTCAAGAATCCTGGCCTCCAACTAGACCCTAATGCACTGGTGGGCACCCAGCTTCGATGATTATCCTGGATTTTAAGATTATATGATTGCAAGCCTTTAGGGTTGTGCTGTCCAAAATGGCAGCCACTAACCATAAGAGACTACTGTGTTTAAACAGATTAAAATTAAATATGATTAATAATTCAGCCCTTCGGTCACAGCCACACTTCACATGCTCTATAACCACATGTGGCGGGTGGTCACTTTTTAGCAGAATGCGTTAGGAAAGTGACAGTAAGTAGGAATAGCTGCTTTAAGAGGCTTGGCCAGGAGAGAGACAGGGAACTGAGGTGGATCCCGGAAAGATGGTCCTGTGCACAGATCCCGAAGACCCAGGTGGGAGGGAGACGCTGCTGGAGCAGCAAATGCAGGACCAGAGCAGACAGGACAGAGGGTACAGGGCCCAGGGGCGGGAAGTGCTTCCCTCACACCTGCCACGGACATAGCTCAGGAGGAGCGGGATGGCGAGGGTTATTTCTCTTAGGACTGCTGCTGCTTTCTCCAGTGGGAGGGAAGGTTATCAGAGGGACTGAGGTTTTGGTGGGAATCTGACACCAAGATCCAAAATGGTTCTCTCTGAGTAGGAAAGACGATCTGTGGAGATGTTAGGAAAGGGAGGAGTGTGAGGGGGCCAGTACCCACCACACAGAGCTTCCCCGCTCTCCTGCTTCTGTGGGAAAGCGCCAGGTGACCCCCAGGCTGGCCATGGACAGCCCCTGCTCACTCTGCCCTCCTCCCCCTAGGATACACAGATATCTCCTGACACCCACGGGGGACAAGGTCCAGCCTCCCAATGGTACCCGCACCAGAGGATGCCACGTCCTTTATGGAAGACGGTGCACTATCTGCCGTGACCCGTGCCACGCGCCAGCATACTCAGACTCGTCTCTGGACACCTGCAGCACCCAATATGGCGCAAGTGCTCCATAAGCACTTGTCGTAGTGCATGGCTTAGGAATAATAATAGGTCTGCCTGTGCTCAGTACAGATGGAATCGACAGCCTGCGCTCAGTTGAATCCACGGACATAAGGCCAGCAGCACTGTGTCCTTTGCCTCGAGCCCTTCCTCCCTTGGGCATCCGTAAGGGCTCAGCTCGGCCCATGCTGAGGGAAGCCCTCCTCGTCCTGAGTGAGGTCAGGCCGCAGACCTCTCTGCCAGGCCACGCAGCCCTCTGTAACACTTATCAGATGAGAGGTTGCACACTTCTGTGTGACTCTGCTACTAACAGACAGAGGCACTCGGGGAATCCAGGAGAGGCCAGCCAGGCCTCCAGGAAGACAGCGACTTAGTCTGGAGCACTGATGCCGAGGTGGGGCAGTCAGTGTTGGGCTGGGAGTGCAGCTTCGTGGTACAGCACTTGCCTAAGCATGGGCAGGGCCCTGGGTTTGATCCCCAGCCCTGCACACACAGGAGAAAATAAATTACAGGTGTAACCAACAGAGCTTAAAGATGGTGTGGCTGAAGGAGGTGGAGGGCACGGAGGGGAGGAAAGGTGACCCTCAAGGTTTTGGTCTAAGCATTGAACAGACAGTGATCTCATTTGCTGAGACAGAGCCGACTGCAGGAGAAGAAGTGAAGGAGGCAAAAACCGGGAGTTCTGCTTCGGGCTTGTCACGCTAGAGAAGTCTGCCTCAGCAGAAGTGACAAGAGAGTGTCCTCCAAGAGGCATCTTGAGTGTGGAGAAGTTCTGGGCAGGAGACACACGTAGCTCTTGGACTCCAGCACTTGGAGTATCAAAGTCATGAATTCAGTCAAAGTCACCAAAAGAAAGGAGAAACAGGGCCCCGCAGCACACAGGAGGGAGGAAGCCACGCGTGCTGCTGCTGTGATGGGCAACAAGCAGCCTGGGCTCCCAGGAGCGCGGAGGCCGGTGCTCCATGCCCACAACATACTGCATGCTGCCCACACGGTACTGTGTTATGATCCGTGTCTGCTGCACACTTGGGAAGAACGTTTTCCTATTTTACATTCTGGGGAGGGAGGCTGAGGCAGGAGGCTCGCAAGTGTGTGCCCAGCCTGGGAAACTTATTCTCTGTCTCAAACCCCGCCTGAGACCCCATCTCAGAATAAGACATGAAAAAGGGGTGGGGGTGCAGCTCTGTGCACAGGGCTTGGGTCCAGTCTCCAGCAAAGGAGGTTCTTCCATCCCGAATGAATGACCGACGTCAAGTCCCAGGAAAAGTCTTACAGGAGATCTCGGAGAAGAGAAAGAAGAAATGGACTGAACATGAAGAAATGAGCTTAAAGCTCAGGGTGGAAGAAAAATCCACAAGAGCAGCAGCTGGAGCAAGACTGTGCCTCTCCTTCCCAAGTGGCTCCCACTAGGGCAAGCGGGTGACGAGGGCCTCCTGCGGCCCTCTGCGCCGAGGGTTCTACACCGGGCAATGCTAACCAAAGGGCTGGTGTTCTTGAGATGTTAAAGGCTCTACCTGCCAGACCAATAAAGAGCAGCAACCCAAGAAAACCCAACCAACCAAAACAGAAACAAACACTGCATGAAGACGAACAGGGAGTTCACAGAAAAGGACGTGCAAGTAACATACAAACACGAGTGGCGTCACTTACTACTGAAGACATACGGAACCGGATATTGGAGGGAACACTGGCACATTTGCAAAATTTTCAAATGCTTATGAACATGTGATGTATGGTGGCATTATTTATAAGCAAAGATTTAGAAATAATCCAAGCGCTCCTCTGTGGCAGACCACCCCACGGATCATGGCCAAAGCAGGCTGTGAAGTCACCCCACAGTGAGCTTGCTTTGAGAAGTGAGTCTGACCAAAGCCTGCATGACTAGATAACACGGCAGCCGGGGGCAGAGTGCCTCACACCCTAATTCTGTTCCCAAATGAAGAATGCTTTGTCTCTTCTCTTACAAGCCTCACCTGCGTCAGCAACGAGTCCCTGGCAACCATACGCAGGCCTTTCACGCAGCCCCTCACTCCAACTTCACAATGATCAACCGTGTCACCAATAACTACCCACGGATTTGGCTGGCCAGAGCACTGGTCATCCCAGTTTCCCCGTCTCTGGCTCTTTTCTTGCCTCGTGTCATCGTCGTAGCACTGAGCAGGAGCTCGGGATCTGCTGCAGGGCCTCCGATACCCATCACAGGGACGGCTTAATGAGATCGCAGTGAAAGTGTGCTCCGTGATACTGCTGTGTAATATGCGAGCTGCCAGGCAATGCCTGAATGCACGCTGTGTTGTAAGTGTGGGAGGAATGCGCTTGCCGTGTTTGTACAGATATGCTCAGGAAAGATTCATAATCACTTAGGGTGAGGGGATGATGACTTCAGAAGGTGTAAACAGGAGACTACGGTCAGGCCAATGGGAGACTGACGGTGAGTTTTTGTAGTTTTAATAGTCTATTACCTATATAAAGAATTTAAAACAGAAAAGTGTATATAACCCGTGGCCTAGAAATTTCACTCCTAAAAATGTACATTGTGGTTTTACAGTGTAAGCAAAGGCACACGGTACAAGGACATTCATGGAGAAGGGTTTCTAGCTGTGTAGCCAAAACACCTAAATGTCACTGGAAGTTGGTGGAATAAATTGTGCTGGGGTGGGGGTGGCTTCCAAGGTAACAGCAATTCTCTACATCTTAAAACTGGATTGTGGTGCTTAGAGATCCACTTTAGGAAAGATCTTTCATGTCTCTTATTTAATAAGCAACCCCCTCCCAAGGCCTTCACGTTAAGCTGCATCTTCAGCTATCTCTCATTTTTTATGTAGAGACAGGGTCTTACTAAGTCCTGAAGTTACCCAGGCAGGACTGAAACTTGTAATTCCTCCTGCCTCAGCCTCCCAGAGTGCTGGGATGACAGGATGCACCACCATGCCTGGCTTTTAATAGATAATTGTACAGTGAGTGTTATGTGGCTGTCGGGCTGTGCATGCTGGGTGGTGATGGTGCAAGAAGCACCGAGGAAGCTGCACAGGGTGCAATGCGTAGCGCAGTGGCAGAGCACTGCCTAGCATGAGGCCCTGGGTTCGACCTGTACGATGACCAAAAAAAAAGGAAAGAAAGAAAGGAAAGCTGGGTGTGGTGGTGCACGCCAGTAATCCCAGCACTTGGGAGGCTGAGGCAGGAGGATCGCTGTAAATTCGAGACTAGTCTGGGCCTACACAGTGAGTTCTAGGTCAGTCTCAACTACATAGTGAGACCTTGTCTCAAAAAAAGATAAAGAAAGAAAGGAAAGGTTACACATAGAAATTTCTAGGCAGACTTACAGTTAACAGAGGGTGGGAGTGGGAGAGAAACTAGAAGTCTGGGATAGAATTAAGATTTTTCACTACACTTTATCAATCAGATTGAATGATTTTTCTATATACTCCTTCAAAACTTCATATTAATTTACAAGATCTGACAGGATCATGCTGGCTGCGGAGTGGGTACTTTCGAGACAGCTCATTCATGCCTTCCGAGGAGCTGTGCCCACCGGCTGACGTGTTTACTTCCTGGCCTCCTGTGCCACGGCTGACAGCCTCTGTCCCAGGGTGCGGCCCCTGCCCGGGACAGGACACTCACTTTGGCTCGTGCGGAGGTCCTGACTGGTCAACCAGCTTGAACTCGGCGGCGAAGCCGTGTGAGCGGGCGTACTCCAGCAGGCCACCCACGGGGTTGGTGTTCAGGTACCTGACAAGCTCACTGACCCTCCGGATACTGCTGGGCACCCCAGACTCTGAAGTCTCCAGCGATTCCGAGTTCGCACTTTCAGACTAGAGAATCAGCCAAAGAGAAAGCAGAATCATGTCAGGAAACCGAGGGACTCACGCTCAGCCACTAAAAACAACTGGGAGCAGGGCCGGAGATTTAGCTCAGTGGTTCTGTCACCTTCCTTGTAAGCACAAGATCCTGAGTTCAATACCCTGTACCAAAAAAAAAAAACCAAACACAACCGGGAACTTCTGAGCAGGAAAATGCCCCACCTGGTTGTCAGCCACGCTGGTGGCTTCTTCATGCAAGGCCTTCATGGCTTCCTCTGCTGCCATCTGCTTTGCCACCTTTTTGCTGGGGGCGCTCACAGTGGGGAAAGTTTGGGCCCCCACTGCAACACAGTACTGGAACCTGACAGGAAATAAGGAAAAGGGCAAACTGAGATGCGTCTGGCTCATCAGGCTGATGGCCCCTGCTACCTGACACTTCACTCAGAGCCAGTGCCCCTCACTGCCTCCTGCCCAGTGGCTCTCAGCCTGGCTAACAACACCCCCCACCGTGCAAGTATCGCCCTGACTTCAACTCTGGGAACCTTCTTTGTCCCTGTCTTTTTTTCCCCCCTTTCTTTTCTTTTGGTGCTGGGATTGAACCCAGGGCCTTGCACATGTTAAACAAGGACTCTACCAGGAAGCCACAGTAAGCGCTAGAACCTTCTCTGACACATGTACGTCCCTACCAACAGTGACCTCCAAGCTGGGAGCCTCACGAACGCTTGGTTCTTTTAAATTCCTAATCTCAGTCTCTGCAACCAGGCCCTGAGGGGCCCACAGAAAAACTGCGCACTAAGAAATCTGCCACCTCTGAGGAGGGGAGGAGGAAAACGTGTCTGTCTTGCTTCCCGAGTAAACCACAGCAGAGACCTGGCACACAGACATACTTGGGGTCGTGGGCAGGTCCTTCTTTGGATAGGAGACGGAATTCACAGGAGTTCCCCAATTTGTGCATACACTCGAGCAGGGTTGTGACAGGGCTCTTCCCAGAAAACAAGGATGAGGCTGAAGGGGTGGGGGGCTGGGGTTCTGCTGTCTGGAGAAAACGAGACAAGAAGAAAAAAATAAAACAAAAAAAACAAAGCTAAGAAAACACTCGTCAGTCCAGCACAGCAGAGGAGGTGGAATGGGAAAATTTCTTCTGCACAGCACAATGTTGGGGGATGGCTGTCCAGAGGAAGGGGCCGACGGGGATTTCCGAGGTGTGGTGGGAAGGGAAGGCTACTCCTAGAGGTCTATGGCCCTTCGGGTCTCTTTCGGACACTGGAAATCCAGTCAGGTCGGGAAAGGAGCCAAAGAGGAGCCAGGTGAGGCAGAAAGGCCAGCTGGTGAGGTACGTGCTGCCCAGGGAAGGCTGTGACTATCCAGGCTGGGAGCCCTTCCAGGGCCAGTTAACACCGCCCCTTCCCAGACATCAACCGTGAACTGATGTCCCCAGGAGGGCAGACACATACCTTCTCTGACTCCACCTCTGTGGAACAGAGGGATAAATCTTCGGGCTTCCCACTGTCCTGAGCTTTGGCTTCCCGAAGCAGAATTGTCATAGCTTTCATGGCTGCATCCTGCTTTGCCACTTTCTTGCTGCCAGCTTCAGCTGGGGGAAACTCTCGGCCACTGATGACAACCTGGTATTTAAATCTTGGTGGAAAGCAATCAGATGTGTGAACCCAGGCTCAACCTGCCCTGTGCTTTTTCCAAAGCAATGTCTACCCACAACGTTCTGCTGCACTAAGGGTGTTTTGACTTGCAGAAGAGACGGAGAGCAGGCCCAGGAGCTCCTATCACTTCGGAAGGTCAGCCTGGCCCATTGCTTCATTTTGGTAGGGGTAGGGATGGAGATGGGGAATCAAATCGGGGCCTCATGCATGCTAGGCAAATACGTATGCTACCTCTGAGCTACATCCTCAGCCCGATTTTGTTTTTTTAAATTACGAGACAGGGTCTCACTGAGTTGTCCAGGCTGGCCTTGAACTTGTGCTCCTCCTGCCTCCACCACACCAGTAGCTAGAATTATGGGTGTGCACCACTGCCTGGATTGTAGCTTCTTTTGGGAGCAAAGCAACTAATGACTCTCTCCATATAGCTCAGTGGAGCAAGCTGAGCAACAGGAAGGCAATACAAACCTTGCTCAGGGGAAACTTGCTATCCCTTAGCTATAAAATAAAATAAAGTCTCTATAAGAAGTGATGGGCTAAAATCATCATCATAGTCCTGTAAGCAACTAGGCCTCCAGCCTTGAGCAACTGTGGCACACTGGCCTCCTCAAGGGAGACCCAAAGAAAAGGGCTGGGGTGTGGCTGAGTGGTCAGGTGCTTGCCTAGCAGGCACACAGCCTTGGGCTTGACCGTGGCACTGCAAAATGTAGCAGAGGTACTGTACAGCCCAACCTCATACATCTCACGCCTGCCCCTTATCCGAGACCTGAAGGGGAGCTGGACGTGAGGGGAAGAGCAGCAGGCTACTGAAGTGGGGTGAAGGGACCCTAACTTGCCGGGGAGCACATCACTTACAGCTTGTTTTGAATCATCCTAGACCCCAAATCTGAGATGAATTTTCCTTGTTATACACAAAACCAAAAAGTATTTATTCTAGGCCTCTGGACTAGGCCTAGGCCTCTTTTGTTCAAGCTGCTCAATCTGTTCAGCTTTTTGATGGATCTTGAGATTTCATTTATTAAAGGAGGTCAAATTTCTTATTTCCTAGGTCTTCTGAAATACTTGAATGTGGTATCAACTTTTCTTATACCTGACATCCAAATAATTACTAAACACAAGATCATGGCTCTCCCCCAACCATGGAGAGCACTCAGGGAAAGAAAGAGCACGCCAGCCACCCAGGCTCTTCCCGAGCAGGGACAAACCAGTCCTGGACCTGCTAGCTTCTGGGCTCACACACCCCCATGCTCCACAGTTTCCCTGCAGTGGCAACTTGGTGCTGAGAATAGTTAGATGAGGAGTCAGGGCCACAGACGGGACTCCTTACCCAGAGACACAAGCCTGCACGGACACAGGCACGTGCACAGGCACACACATTTCAGCCAACGATGGACCACACATACGAGAGTGGTCCCGCTAGATGGCACTGCCTACGATGGAGCTGTCTCAGTTTGTCTCCATGACGTTTGCTTCACGAGCACACCCGTTAATATGGCACAGGACCGTGCAAAGGTGGGTGGCATCTCCCATCCTCACTGGTTCTCTGGCTGCACCCTGCCACTCAGTGTCAGTCTCTGCCAGGCCTTTCAGCAGTCCCTTTCTGGGCCCGGCTGTCTGTCCCCTGATCTGGGACCACCCAGTGCAAGGTTCGGCTCGCCATCTGAGTTGGGGAACTGATTCCTCAGCTCAGGAGCAGCAGCAAGTGCTGGCCCACCTATCTGTGAAGAGGTGGTGTGTAAAATTAGAACTGCCACCTCTAGCAGCAGCAGGCAGCCGTGCATGCTCTGCACAGCCTCTCCCTGCCCACTCACTGGCAGCACAGCCTCCCTCATTGTGTACAGCCTGCCCCAACCCACCTGCTCCTACACTTGCCTCAGGAACTTAGCTTGGAGGGGAGGGGAGAGTACCCAGGAAGGGTGGGCGGGGTTCAATCTCCATCACATCTGGACACCTTAGGAGGCAGGTATGATACAGATGCATGCAAGCCAATCATGTCTACAGAACCTCCTCTTTGCTCAGCCACGAAGCTGGCCAAATCCCTGCTCATCACCTGGAGAAGGGCCAAGAGAAGGTGATTTAGCCAAAAAGGAGAAAAACAGAAAAAAAAGGCCACCAAAGTGCCCTGCTCACAAGTCAGCTGAGACTGGGTCCAGAGTGAGTGAGTGCCTGACCCCAACCCGAGGCACAGCTCCTGGTGGTCTCTTACCGAGGTTCATGGGACGGTCCGCTCTGCTCTATGAGGTGGAACTCACAGGTCTGACTAGTGAACTGTGCATACTCTAACAGCCCGCTGACGGGGTTCTTCAGCTGGCACTCTGTCAGCTTCTTGTAGGATGAACACCGTGGCAAGCCAGGGCTGTAGAAGGAGGGCATCTCCATGATGGCTCGAAACTCACCTGGTGCTGCGCGGATACTGTTCAAATCATCTGGGATGTCATCTGTGGCCCACTGGCCATTTTCAAAGTCCACATACCCTGCTTTTGAAGGGTTACCGTGATAGAACGGTGGCCTCAGTCTCATTGGTCTTGGTCGGGCCTCTTCTCTACTTTCTAGCTTTACGACAGGCTCCTGCCCATTCTGCACCTTTGCTGTGGCCACGACCTTGTTTGAAGCATCTGATGGGGCTAAGTGACAGGGGGGGAGTGCGGCACTTTTTCTAGGCTCGGAAACAGCAGGTGGTGTGGCCGCAGGGACACTGTGCACGTTTCTCCTGACTTGCATCCTCTCACGCTTCTTGTCTGTCAGGTGCCATATGCCAGGTGTTGCCCCTTGCCTGTAGACATCCCCCTGCCTCTCCAAGTCAGTCAGCACTGTATTTACATCTCGGGCCTTGGTGAGGCCAATATTTTTAGCCAGATTCAGGGCAGAGGAGTTAGATACATTGAACAGGTAGGCACAGATTTTCTCCTTGATCTCAGCCATGTCAAAAGGCTCAGGAGGATCTTCTAAATCAGACTTGGAGATTCTGTCCTCAGCTCCCAAGCTGGGCTGTGGGTTTGGGGCTCCTGGGCTGTGAATGTCTGGTCTCACTGCTTCACCAGGCTCGTTCTGCGCCTGAACTGAGGCTGCAATGCTCCATAAAGGGGGTGTTCCTGCCCCCCTTCGCAGCTTACCCTTCTTCGCCAGGGAGTATAAAAAGTGATTGACTTCCTTCTTCGGCACCCTGAGCTTCCTGCCCAGATCACGTGCTGTGGTGGCTGACTGTTCTCCAAGCTCTTCCAAGACTGCTAAGATCCTTTGCTCCTGATCCTGGCTGATGCTCAGGTCCTGGAATTGTGAGGAAATCCCATCAATACCTCTCCATGGCACTCTGCTGCGTGGTGAAGGAAACTGGGATCCTACCTGGAGCCTCGGCCTTCTGAAAGGTGCCGCCCTGGGGACACCCCTGATCTCTAGTTGCCCGCCTCCAGCAGGGGGTCCTGGATACCCTGGCCGGAATCCGGGGAAGAGTCCTGGGAGGAATGGTGGTGGCAGTGGCAGTAATGGTGTCTGTTTTCCAGGCAGGGGCACTTCTGGAAGCCGGCCCTTGAGAAACTCTATTTGCTGGAGTTGGAAATTGTTAAGGTATGATCCTGGCCCCAACGGCTGCTGTGTGGCCTTGCCATGCTCATTGTCCTGGCTGGGGTGGGAACGGTGTCCCTGTGGGACAAGATGCAGGAAAGAGAGTGAACAGGGCTGCGGTGGAGGCCCCACCAGCCCCCGCCCCTGAAGCTGCCCGACGGCTAGCTAGCATGAGAACACCCACCGAAGCACTGCCGAGGGGCCACCAAGGGGCGTCAGAGCAAGAGGCAGAGCCCACAGGGCTTCCAACAGCACCGGAGGTTTGGCTCCCTCAGCACAGCTTCTCCATGACCTAACTTACTCTCTCAACAGAGTTCAGGGAGTTGAGAAGGACCCTTTCTATCTACTCCCAAAAATCCTCTCGTAAAAATCAGGAAAACACATAAATAGCTTTGAAAATAAACAAAAACAAATCTATGAAAATGGCAAGGGAGTTAAGGATCTAAGGAATCAATGAGATCAGCCCTACTTAAGGCAGGGTGCCAACCATACAAGCCCTCTTGTCTCTAAAATCTGTCACCCGGCTTGTCGTGGTAGTGCACAGCTAGGATCCCAGCACTTGGGAGGCTGAGGCAGGAGGACTGATGTGAATTCAAGGCCAGCCTGGGTCTACCTAGTGAGACCCTGTCTCAAAAATATACCCCCCTAGGCCTGGGGATTTAACTCAGTGGTTCTGCCTCCTGCCTCACAAGCATAAGGACCCAAGTTCAATCCCTGGTACCAAAAAACAAAAGAAACTGCAAACTGTCACCTGGGTGACCGTGACAAAAGAAGAAGTGTCAGTTACTGAATGACCCTGCCCCCACTCGGTCTCCCAGGTATAAAGAAAACAGCAGAATGATCTCTGAAAGGAAGGGCTACAGGACCTCAGAGACTCATCTGCTTGCCACTGGCATCTGGGAGGACCAGCACTTGGTTCTAAGGAAGCTGGAGGGTTTCCTTATAAACACGGCACACTGTACTGTGTGGTACCCAGGCTCACTCAGATGCGTGCAGCTGGCAGGGTCTATTTCTGCCCCCAGCGAAGCCCCCCTTCCCTGGCTGCCTCCACAGACTGGCCTTCTGAACTCTGCTGTTCCTTCACCTTTCTGCCATGTGTTTGGCCAGTCCAGTTGCTCCTTCAGTGCCACTATTACTCTAATCCAGACCACCACCAAGTCCTCAGATCCTGAACCTCTCTTCCAGTGTCATGAAGATATTCCGCAAAGGGCCAGGTAGGCCTGCCATTCTAGTGCAAAAGCAGCCACATATGAATCATAAAACTTTACTTACAAAAACAGGTAGAGCACTGGATTTGGCTGTGGACCATAGACTGCTGACTCCTGTTCTCTACGACTTCACTCCCAACTCTGCTGGAACCTGCTTCTCATGTGCACTGTCCCACTTCTAATTCTTCTCTATTTGGCTCCATACACCCCTCACCCTGCCTTGAGCAAACGGTCAGCCAGCTTGCTTTCATCCACTTCCCAGCTAAAGTAGCTTTCTTACGCAACTCAAACCTAACGGATCTCCACTTTGTGCAGAAGCTCACAATCTGAATTTCCAATTACCTAGCTAGATATCTGTCTGCTCAGATACCCTGCCATTATCTCAAATGCCACATGTTCCAACCCAAATTAACCATTTTCCTCAAAGGTAGCCCCTCTCCTGTTTTTATTACTGTTGATGGCATTCTCCTCCTCCTGGGTTATTACAGCTAAAAACGTGAGTTATCTCCGCTGCCCGCCTGCCTGCCCCCATCCCCATGGTCTGACCAGGTAGCTGCCGAGGCTCGTCCACGTCTCTGAGACGTGTTTTCCAGGGCCAGCCCCGCATTACCACAGAGCTTCCTATCCTTGAACACCTGTGACAACATTTACCTAACGATGGCACACACAGATTGCAGTTTATCTGAAGGGTAATTAATAATACGGGGTGCCCTAGAAATTACGCTCAACCCCACTCCCAATCTCCACAGTACAGTGCTGATGGGGTTGGAGCTGGAACTCACTCTACAGTGAGTGCCAGGGGGACAAGGACTACACCTCAGCCATCTCTGTTTCCCTCACACCTGGTGCCAAGGTGACAATGAACCGACATTTGTCGAATTTATGGCTGCATGAACAAGACGTCCCTACCCCATCACATCTCTCCTTTCTCCTCTCATGCACCCCAGCCCCGCCGTGCTAGGGCCAGAGGTGACACAGACAGAGTGCCCAGTCCACAGAACTTAATTATGAGAACTTTAGGGGTTTTCTGATTAGTCTCAAGTGACCTTGGAAAAAGAACTTTGTTTTGGGCTGGATGGTGACACACAGCTGTAATCCCAGCACTTGGGAGGCTGAGCCAGAAGGATCGCCAGGAGTTTGAGGCCAGCCTGGTCTACACAGTGAGACCCTGTCTCAAGAACAAAACAAAAATACTTTGTTTCAAGGTAGTTACAGTCATTTTCTAGCTAAATAATTTCTAGATTTAAACTGCTACTCTCAGCCAAAATCTGGCAAATATCTGACTGTTCACCTTTAAAAGAAATGACAAAGTTACAATACACTTATGCTGTGGAAAAGTATTCACATAACTTTTATAAATGTGTGATGGATTTAGTTAGGAACATAATAAATAGAATAAAAAAGGCAAGTTGCAAAGTAAATGTCTGCTTTAATCTCTTCTACTATAAACAAATGAGGAACCTCATGAATACACACACACACACATATGAATAAAGAGAGAAAAGAAATGATCCATTAATAGCTATTTTAAGAGGTATCAGAAGTAGAGGGGGCTAGGGGTTTAGCTCCGTGGTGCTGCTGCCTGCCTCGCAAGGGCAAGGTCCTGAGTTGGATCCACGGTAGCAAAGAAAAGTAGAGGGAAGGAGATTATTAATTTTGTGTTCTCTACCCCCTAAAAACCAAGCCCCACTTCAGAACAGTCATGCAGACAGCCGTTGAAGGGTGGTCACTCCCAAGCTTGAGCTCACTTCTCTCCCGCTTATTTATTTACTGAGCAAACTGTGTAACAAATCTTTTAATAAACACTGCCTCCAAATTTTCCCTTTAAACTTTCATATTTCCGATCAAGAGATAAGCCCAGCTCTCTTTATCACCTGGGTACACGAAGAGACACTTTTCCTTCGTGTCTAATCCCTCTAAAAAGGGGCTTTTAAAGACACACACACACACACACACACACACACACACACACACACATTAATGGTACATAACACTTTAAAAACGGAGGCATGATCTGCACTTAGTAAAGCTGACCCTGACTTTGGCGGGCCACACCACAACCAAGAAGCAAAGCACTTCCACTTCCCCACAGGTCTTCTCAAGGCCCCGGCAGGCAATCAGTCTCCTCGTGCAGCCCTGGCACCCACGGTCGGTTTTCCTTCCCACAGCTTTGTTTTCTGCAGTGCCATATGCCTGTGCACACAGTCTCAAGCCTCCAGTCTGGCTCCGCTCAGCACCGCGTATCTGGGATCCTGGCAGCTTCCAGCGCGGCCATTTGTGCTTCCGGCTTTAGCTACACTGAGTAAAACTGTTACGGACTCCCTCCTCCAGCTATGACCAGCTAGCTGGATTTGGTCTCCCGAAGGCTCTCGGGGTGGGAAGGGTGCTGGAAAGGGTCCTCGGCTATGAGCGCACTGCCCGGGGCCGAGCTGGCCACGCGCCGCCGAGGGGAGCGGGGCTGGGTGGAGGCGCAGGCCCTGCCGCCCGGAGAGTGCGTCCCGGCCCGCGCAGGCAGCCCGCGAGTGGGGAGGAGCGGCGCCCTTACCTGCCTCGATTCCATAGCGCCCAGCCGCGCGCATCGCCCCACGCCAGGTGTCTGCGGCAGCAAGATGGCTCTGGGTCAATTTCGGTTTCGTTTCCTTGAAAAGCCGGCCTCCCGAAAGTTTGCCGGGAGGAGGGGTTTGGGCCGCGCCGCGCTCTCCGCCAGGCTGCTGCCTCCCAGCTCAGGCCGCAGGGCCCCACGCGCCCGCCGGCTCCCCACGGAGGCTCCCGAACACGCGCCGTCCTCCCTCTCTCCGCCCGAGCTCTCAGATCGTGTTTTCTTTCCCAGTGTGCTCACCCTGCTACAGACCGAGGCAGGCGCTCCTGGCGAGATGAAGCCGAGAGCAGGGCCGGACCTACAGGAGGCGCTGCACCAGCCTTCCTCCTGGCCACTACGCAGGTCCCCCTCTCCCTCGATCGTCACAACAGCTCTGCCAGGGAGGCTTAAGCCCCTCTACCGGTGTGGAAACTGAGGCTTGAGGCTGGAGCGTTACGCCCCGACACCCGTCACGGGGAAGGCTCCGCTCACCCGGCCACACAGACCTGCTTTATCCCACCTGCAGCTCCGGTGTCCCCTCCAACTGCTCAGGAGACAAACGTCCTTTCCCAGCACCCCCAGCCCATGCTTGGGGCCTCTGTCCTCTCACGCAGCTGTCCTGTCCCTCGTGTTCTCCAGTGGGTGGGCTTACTTTCTGCCGTGCCTTCGCACATTCTGTTCCTTGGCCCAGAATGCACTTCACTGCCAGTTTTTGGGGAAGCCACGTTTCAAAATAGGCTTTGCCAACTGTGCCCTGGGGGGCCTAGCCAGGGAGGGGCCAGTGCCCACACTTCCTAGTTCTGGGCTTCTCCTCGCCCAGCACTTACCCCTACCAGGGTCCTGTCACGTTGTTCTGAAAATGCCTCATCCGATCATTTGACAAAAATGCACTGAGCACACAGCACGTGCCAGACACTGTGGAGGGACTGAGGCTCTGTCACCAGGGCCAGGCCCTGCAGCAGTGTGCTGGGGGGGAGCCACCCCACGCATGTATTATTTATGAAGCTGCCAGGCCCTCCTAGGGGAGGGAACATGGGTTACACGGCTGCACCTGAACAGTGACCCTCAGATAATGACTGGAGAGGTGAAGGAACAGCACTCAGTGGGTAAAACAGTGGTGAACTTCACAGGAGTAAGCTACAGAGAGCAATGAGCACAGGAAAACGAGCTGACCTTGCTCGTCAGAGACATGCCCAGCCTGGGACAGTCCCATGGCGCTCTGATCAGACCAGGAGGGAGAGAAGGCTGTGCACACATTTCTCACTATCCCAGCGGGTACCAGGAGAGGACCCACAGCCATGCCATTTGTGACACGCCGGAGACAACTGCAGAGCCAGCACAGGTAAATGGGCAATGAAGGCGACAGGCGCTGTGCTGAAATGCCACACAGCAACGAAGCCGAAGAACAGCAAGGTGGGTAAGCGTCGGAGCACTGCAGGAGAGAGGCGCACTGGTCCGGCTCCATTTACACAGAACGCACACCTCCCAACCAACAAGCGAGCCAAGGTGCGCCCCGCAGGAAAGCAGGGTGGTGACTGCCAGGGGAGGGGAGGGAGCTGCGGCCGGAGGAAAAAGTGTCCTGGGCGCCAGTGATGCTCTTGTTCTTAGCTTGAATAGAAGCTACACATGGGATGCTTTCAAATAATTCAGTTATATTTTATTCACAGTTCTAGTTTACACTATATTTCACAATTTTAAAACGTTAAAACAACCAACTCTGCCCACAGCACTGCAGCCCACTCCCCGCGTTCTTTTCTCCGCTTGAAGGAACCCGAGGCTGGCCTTACCTCTGCTGCCTTGTTTTGGGCGAACATCTGAAAGCACTTACCTCTTCTCAGGAGTGCTCCGGAACTGCTGCACAGCGTACCGCTGCCCTTTCCCTGTGAATCCAACACAGGATGGGATCCTGGAGCAGGCAGGAGTGACTTCTTCCCTCCAGAGGGCGTCTGTTTGTGCCTCGGAAGATAGTGCTGCTGTCACTTAATCTTAGCAGACTTATTCATAAACCTTTCATCTCCTCACCTAACCACTGTCTTAACTCCCCCACGGTTGCAAGGTGGTGATGTAAATCTTTATGCTGTCGTGGGGACTTCACAAGCTAAATGAAGCTCTTAAAAAAATTGACCCAAAGTAATTTCTGTTTACTGCAGAGATTTAAAAAAATACAGCTGATGAATACAATGAAAGTCGCTGTTAGTCCTCCATCGTGGGTGCACTGGTGCCTCCTCTGAGTCCAGGTCTTCCGGTCCTGTCCCACAGCAGCTGACCTGTGGCTCACCCCAGCCACCCACCAGGACTCATTGGTAACCTCCTGAGCAAGTGAGCTGACTGAGGACCTCCCTCAGCGTTACTGGCAGTCTGGCTTCTGCTTCTCCATGGAGCTGCTGGGCTACAGCTTCCTCCCAGCCTTCTGGGCTGGAACTTTTCCACCTTGGGAAAGAGTTTGTTATCAGGGCTACTGAGCTGGTTTTAGCGCCAATCCCTGCTCTTACTTTTTAACTCTAAATAACTATTAGTCTGGCTTTGTAATTATTGATTTGGTTTGTTATCGATTTTCCGTTTAACCTCACTGCAGGCAGGGATACATATTTACAACAACAGCTTCTGAGTCGGTAATTTCCTGTAACCAGACTGAGGTATACATATGGGCTACATCCTGTCAGATCATTTATGTCCCTATGCTACAGCAGATGTCTGCAAACTCCTTCAGTATCAGCTCGTCTAGGGACACTGCTACAGAAGTGTATTGAGCCTGCTTTTAACATGTGATCACAGAAAATAATAGTTATTTTTAATTACTCTGGCATTATTTTAGAAGACAGTATACACATAAATAGACTCACACTTTCATCCAGGCTCTTAGGAAATACATAATAAGCAATTCATACAGTTGGTAGGCACAAACTTACAGGCTTCCTTTTTTGCTGCTTTTTTTCTTTTTCTTTGGATTTCCTTTCTTTTTATTCCACTGAAACTGCAACTACTCTGGCAACACTCATTTTCATAATTCACAGGGTCTTCCTGCGGTCACTCCACTTGCTCTGCTAATATGCTAGGGCTCCAGAAGGTGCAATGGTGAGGTGTCCAGCTGGTGGAGTGGCGCTCTGCGACTGTATTTATGCTGATGTCCATTCTACTGGGTTAAGCGATCAGCACTGACTTTTGAAGTTATAAGAAAGCAAGAAATGTCAGGCACTCCCAAAAGAAGCAATCTCCAAAGTAGTTTAAGTACCTGTACCCAAAGACGTACAATAAATGAAGGAAAAAAGTGGTGCTTATCAACTTTCTGTACGTGTAGACATTGTTAGGAGGTTAATCATATAATAAAGACTAGGATTAGTAATCAATAATTAATGGCCAATAGACCTGTGTAGAATATCCCAGGTGTACGTACATTTAATCTCATGACCACACCACAAAGGTGGCTACACAACTGTGGTTTAGGTGTCCAGTCCTGCAGCCTTACAGCCTTACACTGCCTGTCCTAAGCCAGTGTGGTCTTGTGCACAGCATGTGGCTGATGCCAGTATGGCTCTGGCCTACATGGAGGCTCAGCTACCGGCCAACCCTGGGGTCCCACCAAGCTGGGACCTAAATAAAGCAGGGAGCTCACACCCTTTCTTGCTGCTTCTTCCTCTTTGTTCCAGCAGGCCCTAGCCTGTGAGTGGCCAGACTCAGACCAGCTTCCTGCCAGGGCGCTGTCCCCATCTGCACAGCTTGTAGCAAGCAGAGGGGACAGTGCAGTCCTGCCCTAAGCAGGGCTGACTGCAGCGGACTGAGCCTGGAGTTCCGTACCGATTCCTGGGAAGCAGGCTCATTTCACTAAGAGCCAAGCTGTCAAATGGCCAATTCACCAAATATCCAATTTATGAAACAACCAATGTACTGAATTTACTTTTTTCCCTAGTCTTAAGTGTCCAGTTTTTATTTTGTCCTCATAACAGAATGTGGAGGAAATGGATCTGCCTGCAGCCTGAGCTGGAGATCGAGGAGGAGTCTGGGAGCCTGAGGGTGAGATCCAGCAGCTTCTGTGGAAGGGTCTGCAGACTTTCTGGGAGTTGGCAGGCAGCCGCTTCAGTCCACAGTGTTCTTTCCAAAGGGAATTAGTAAGGTTTTGCCATTTCTCACTTGTCTTTGACCGTCTTCCTTTCAGTATTGACAAGTTCACAAAATCACTATCCACGCTGAGAACACCCTGCCAAGTCAGAGCAGAAGGATTTGAAGATGCTGGCTTTCAAGACTAGCAGATGCGGGCCATGCCAAGCATGTCTACGGCCACCTGGAGCTCGCAGGGCAAGGAGTGGCTGCTCCCCAGGAGCCTCCAGAGGGAGCAGAGTCCCTCCCATGCCTCGATTTTGGCCCCATGGACTGATTTCAGATCATGGTCTCCAGAACCAGAACAGAATAAACTTTTGTTGTGTTAAGCCACCAGTCTGTGGTAACTTACTACTGCAGCCATAGGAAACAAACGGCATCTTGAGGGAAATGCTGAGCAGGGAGCTTGCAGCCTGGGGGTTTCCGCTCTGAGGGTGTCAGAGAGAATGGCCAAAATGGCTGGCTGTCAGACAGAGCCAACTAAACAACAGAGCCTCATCACGCTGTCCAACAGAATTAGAGCTGTATGCTCTGATTTCTTTTTCCAGGAAGGTGCCATTTATTTATTTACTTTGCAGTGTTGTGGACTGAACTCAGTCTGCCTTCCTCCCCAGACCTTTCGTGGTGCTATGGATGGAATCTACAGTCTCATGCATGCCAGCCAAGTGCTCCACCACTAAGCCCCATCCTCAGCCCTTCATTTATATTTTTAAAGCAAAGATTGGGTATGGTGGCCCAGGCTTATAGACCCAGACACCTGGGAGGCTGAAGTGAGAGAATCACCTGAATCCAGGAATTCAAGGTCAACCTGGGCAACAAGTCAAGACCCCAGCTTAAAATGTAAATAAATAAATGAAATAAAAGATGAGGAAAAGCCAAGGCAATAAAATCAAATGTACGAAACATTTGGTACCACTGTGTTCACATAGGCATAGGCCCTCCTAATTGTTCTCCCTGCATGCAACCTGGCTTCCGTTCTGTCTAAACTTCTCCACACAGCCAGAGTGATCTCTGGAAACTGCAGTCTGAGCATGCCATGGAACTCAAAAAAAAAAAAAGTATAAACCAAGGACTGGAGATTTAGATCAGTGGTTCTGCCACATGCCTTGCAAGCTCAAGGTCCCAAGTTCAATCCCTGGTA